ACATTTGCCTAAATATAAATAACTTTATAAAATATCAAGTTAAAGTTTAGGGCAACACACTTTTTTTGGAGTAATATAAATTTTTAAGTGACTACTTGGAATTAGTTTAAAAAATCTCTTAAAATTTATGTGTGATGCTTTTATTTAAAAAATAAAAGCTAAATGCTTTTATTTCAAATTTATGCTTATAGAAAAGGAGTAGTGTTTCTGTTCCTAAGTTATCTTCTTAACTTTTATCTTTGAAGCCCCAGTTCTGCTGATTTATATGTCAGGTTTACATAAGTACAGAGTATTTAGAAATTACCTGAAGACAAATTCGATTATTTAAAAATCATAAAGCTCTTATTTTTAAAGAAAATTCAACTACTGAAAATTAATAAAGTTATAGCTATTATGTAAACGATTTCAAAGCAGAATTTAAAAACAAGCTGAATTTTTCCCCCCATTAATAAACTTGTTCCAATAATAGGGAAATTATCCTTTTTTGTTTATTTGTTACAGAATATGAATACATTCATGCAGTATAATAAGGTACTATCATTACCCAAGATTTCAGTGTATTTGTTCTTACATTAATAGGTCATTTTTCATATATTTTCAAGTAAAACAACTAAAGCTTGGAAGTTCACAGAACTTTATAAATGCAGTATAGAGAGAGTCAAAATAACTCTTGAAAGGAAATATGTTATCTGGTTTTGCTGGACCTGAAATAATTTATGCTCTGTGTTGGAGCTAGCCAATGATGGTGTTTTCCCATGAGAAACATGGGAATTTACATTTAATAGAGACACCCAACTCCTAAAGCATTTGAGTGCAAAAAGCCAAAATCAGTGGGAAGGAAAGTTGGAGAAAAATATGTTTATGTTTTTGTGCATTTTTATGCTATCTCTTCTTAGGGCCACTGACTGTGACTCTATATTTTTTATATTTCCATGACTTGGTATTAAATAGTCCCAGCAGTTCTTTCAGAATTTTATGTGCAAAAATAAATCCACGGCACAGTAACTAGGAAAGAAACGTAAGTGTATTTACACGTGAGCGCTGTCCGGAAAGTATCCAGCCATTGTTGATACAATGACAACAGTTACACGACTGGATCCTTTCCCGACACTCCTCCTACATCTAATATTTGTAAAGTGCTTGCAGAAAATAGTCTCAGTCACAATCATGACACTGACATTTAAAAGGAATGCCATACCTCTTTGCTCTCTCTAAACTCACAGATCAAATGGCTGTCCCGCAATGCAAGATCCTATCTACGTCTGAGCCTGTCTGTGTCTGTATCTCTGTCTGTGTCTGCGTTGGGCTACGTCTACGTCTGAATCTGTCTGGCTCTATTTCTATGTCTCTGTCTCCCTCTCTGCTGCTGCCTCTACACGTACATGCTGAGCATAAACTCTCCTGCTCCTGACTCAAAAGTCCATGAAGCGGAAGTGTTTTCACCAATATCTTCCAGCAACAGCCCTGGAAGCTTGGGAGGGGCCGGGAGTCATGTCAGAAATGTCTGTGGGTGTCAGCGAGGTGGCTAGGGGACTTTTTTGGAACAGCAGAGATGGGCTGCCAAAGGTTTCCCTGTCCCGGCACTAAGGGAAGATGCAGGAACTTTGTGTAAAGACCATTTTTGACGAAGTTGCCAAGAGCAGTCCCCATGTTTCCTACTCCAGGGGTGCTGCTCCCCCCAGGTCACCTGGAATGTTCCTTAGAGCACCGGGTGCCATGTGTACCTCTTTTAGTGTCTTCTAGTTTATAACTAACAGAGGCAGGAAACTAATATAAGTAAACCGCTCTAAAGAAATAATTTACCTGATGCTGGACCCATTGGTAATCACATTTAGCAACATTAGGTCATATGCAGTACTTCATTATATCCAAGATATCAATTATAAGATGCACCCCTATATCATGAACCCCTAAGAAAGAAAAACAATGCTGCTATTTACACTATGACTCATCATCAATTGTAAGATACGCTCTGATTTCAGATATTTTAATGGACATACATATTTTACACTCTATGAAAGTATTTTAGTATTTATTTGAGCGATATGGCACTGAAAATGCTTTGGATTTTGTGATTGGTTTATCATATATTAACTACTGAACTGTTTTTCCAATATA